GAAGTCCCTCGGCCCTTAAAGGGGAAAAGTTGCCTACCCCTGATTTATGTCATGGTTGGAGGCTGCTGGGGGCATGGCCAGCATTGTTCTATTGCTTGCCATCCCTAAAGCCTCAGTTTGGCTGGGACAATGAACAAGAATGACATCTTGAAGATTGCTTCTGTTGACTGAGCTAAGTTTTTCAAGCAGTGGTTTACCACACTCGGGTTTTCTTCTGCTCCCCCTGCTCTTGTTATGTGGGTTTCATTCATTGCTCTTAACATTATTTAGACTTTCCTGGGGGAATGAGGTGGGGGGCTTATCCATCACCCAGCCAATGTGCACTGCACCAAGCCCCAGGCCCAGGGTTGGTGAAGGAGGCAGTACTTTTGCACCTTGAGTCCTGTTTGCACTCTCTCTCTTCTCAAGGCGAGATCTGGTGCCTTTAAGGTATTTAGGCCAGTAGAAATGTACCCTACTGGAAAATAAAAAAGGAAGAAAAGGAAGAGAAAGGCTGAAGGGAGTGAAGCAAAGACTGAATTGTGACACAAGGCTAAGAATGTCAGCTCATTAGTTCACCTAGACCATTTTTCTGTTGTGGAAGCAGTAAATTCAGTGTTATTTTGTGGTGCTGAATGACACAGTGTAGTAAACTGTATTTATTGCTTTTCAGTCCTAGTTTCTATACCTGTGATGCAGGATTAGGACTGAGCTGACCATTAGGCTGGGTGAAGCAACTTCATTGAATTCAATTACTTGACTCTGGAGTATTAATAAAGAGTAGGAAACAGCTAGCTGCCCAGTGTATTATTATAGTTTGTCACCTTTCAGATCTTCCTCTAGAACTAAAATATCTTGGGCTTTCTCAGGGCAGGAACTGATAGAAAACAAAGAAGGCCTTGCTGGCATAGTTTTGATGGATTGCTATATTTTGCGTTGTGCAAGTAGATAATTTTGTAGCAAAAAGTTATATTTTCTTCTTGCAGCAAGACTATGGAGGCATGTGTATACAAGCACTAGGAAAGTCAAGTTGTTCACCCTACATTGTGCTGTGTGAGAAATTTGCCCCAATAAGATCCTGGTTTCTATAAAAGGCATTACATGTCCCTTGCTGACCATCAACATGTAGCTAAATAGCTCCATGCCCCAAAGCTACTGAGATAGATTTATTTCATTGTTATGTTTTAGTCCCCTCTCACCCCCCCCCCACACATCATGCTTCCTTCACAACAGCAAATGTATTTACTAAATGGAAAATAAGCTTAAAATTAGGCAAATGCCCATGTTTAATATAAGACATCTGTCCACTTGACATATGTTCAGTTTATTAAAGCAGCAACCTTTCAAAAAAAAGCACAACTGCTACATTATTCAGTCTCATCGCAGGCAATGACATGTTGTACAACATGAGGACTCATAAACAAATGTGTAGCTTATCAAAAGCTGACCAGTTTTATAGTCTGAATGAACAATTTGTTGGCACAATCATACTTACCAAATAACAAGATAGTTTCACCGTTTATTAGATATGCCTGTTATGAATGGAGCAACTGAAATAGCCTCTCTTCAGAAATATCTAACAAACTTTTCTTTACCAACCCTGTTCCTGGTTATTTTCATCCCATGGGACTCTTCACAATTGCAAATTACAAAGAAGCTTGAACGTTTTCACTTTCAGTGCTCAACACATAAATATATTTAAATGTACATATTTATTTTTTATATTTACATTCTCTTTCTGAAACCCAAGTAAGATGGTGTACAAAATATTCAAAAAAATAAACAACAATATATAAATAATTATAAAAGCCATTCTCTAGGGAAGAAGGTCCTTGGATAACTGGAAACAAATGTGCTGACATAATGAAATAAAATGTGGATTGATAATATAAGTTCATATGGCATATTTCAAGGAAGAGGAAGTAAGGCATACTGAAGGACTCACACCACACAGTCATTTTGTGACCATCAGTATAGCTATGAATTTCAAAAAGAGCCAGCGTGGCATAGTGGTTTGAGCATAGGAGTGAAACTCTGGTGACCAGGGTTCAATTCCCAGTTTGGCCATGAAACCCACTAGGCAAGTCACATGCTCTCAACATCAGGGAAAGGCAATGGCAAGCCTTCTTTGAACAAATCTTGCTAAGAAAAACCCTTAGGGCTGTCATAAGTCAGAAAAGACTTGAAGGCACACAGCAACAATGAGCTTCAGACCAAACATCAACAAAGGAACTCCTCAATTAATATAAGTGTGAAGATATGGGTCATATACATGCCACATATCACCCTAAAAAAATACCTCTAAGTACAACCAGTTGGGACTAAACAGAAATAACTCTGCTGAAAGTCCTCCTCAGGAGACTGTCATGTTTAACTAATAACATGTGATGTCAACCCCCTTCACTTTGCACAGATCACTACTGTTGCCATGTAATCTAATATTTACAATAAAGCTCTTTGTCTTAGTCTTTGTTATGTCAACTTTAATTTCTTCTTCTGTGTGATCTGTGCATTGTTTTATCTCTTGAACCAACTATATAGAGACCTTCTTGAATGACAAGTATGCATATTTCTAGCCTGTGTATTCCCTGAGAATATTGTATTTTCACATATCTTGAAGAGATGGTATGATTCAAGAATGAGCCTCTGTGTATTGTAAAGAAACATGAGAGGTACAAACTTTAACTATTTTTATTTGTGAGATAATGGAAAGTATGGAAGTGTATTGGTTACAATAATAATCATCACATTAATCCAAGTGCTTGTAATGCTGTAATACATTATATGTAGATGTATGTGTGTATGTATGTATATCAGAGGTTCCCCTGACATTAGAAAGAGTGAAGCAGCAAAATCAGGCAGCAGATTTTTTGAACTTCATGAATCTGAAACAGCCTGTTATATTTAATTGGTTACTATTCTATTTTTACTGCATGCCATTGGAGAAACATGTAGAATTGCTGTTAACTTTGGCTGAGGAGGCACCATTTTCTGTTCTGTCAAGTCTTGGGCCAGATATGAGATTGCTCTTACCCCACTGTGATGGCTCCTGGTCATGACCCATGGATGAGGGAAGACTCTGTGCCTCATGTGACCAAGTGCATGACACCATCAAAAGTAGGGGCAGGGTAAAAACAGCATTTCAGATTGCTTCCTCTGTCCTCCATTGGCATTGTGGACCTTTATGATGACCTAATCACTGCAGACTTTGATGATCTCAGGACCAGACAGAGATTTTTAGCAGTGCCTCAAAGTTAGAAAAAGGGGACAATTGGATAGAGTGTAACAGCTTTCAGCAGGTTATCATGACAGGCAGGTAGATTGGGTTGTCTGAAACATGCAGGTAGGATTGGTGAACACAGGAGCACACCTTATGTTGTAAAGCAGTCCCTCAGAATTATTCTTTGCATCTTGGGATCCAAGGATGGGGAAGGGAGAATTGTCTTTGGAGATCTAGTTGACCTCCAGCCATTTTTTTTTAGTTCTTTGCTTGGTGGAGCAAGGGAGTATGAAGAGAAACAGCATAAATGAGCACCAGTTTGGTATAGGGCATTGAACTATGATTCTGGAGACCAAGGTTTGATTCCTCAACCAGCCATGGAAACCTCAAGGGTGACCTTGGGAAAATCATATGCTCTCAGCTCCAGAAAACCTTATTTATAGGTTCACGTTAGGCTCACCATAAATTGGAAACCACTTGAAAGCACACAACAACAACAAGGCTTAAGTGTATCTCTTGGGACTGGTTGGCTCACCCAGTGAGTGCTGAGGAAGATGTCTAGATGGGACACTTTCCTTAGACAACTCAACATATTAGTCCCCTCTAGATGCTGGTTTCAGGTTGTGTTTAATTTGCTAACATAATTGTGGCCATATTTCAATCCTATACAAATAGGGAATTTTTAGATATCTTCCTGCTGATCAAAATTATTTAGTGCTAATATTTAATCCTCTTAACAATACAAAGAGACTGAGGCTATCATGCATGAATTGGTGAGGCTTCCATATGTCTGCTTACACTTATTCTTATAGGGGTCACAATATAAATAATAGACATGGAAAAGCCAAATGATGTTAATTTGAGAAAATAAGAAAATGTAAAGTAGTATCTATGTAGTCTTTAACATCAGCACAGTACTGTATGAACACATTTCTCATGACAACCTTCTGCAATGGTGAATGTAATCCATTTAACAAATAGGGAACTTTAAAATGTTAAACAATTTGCCCAGAGCCCTGTAGTTACACAGTGACAGAATTTAATGCAAATTAAGAGTGGTTGCAGATAACTGAGAAATCCATTTTCTTCTTTTTATTGCTTCTTTATCATCTTCAGAAAGGGAGGTATCACAAAATTCAATTGAAGTGTAGGGTTGGAAACAATATTCAAAAATATTCAGTTTTTTTCTGAGGGAGTGTGTCTAGAGTGTTGGAAAACTCTGAAGAATGTTGGAAAACTCCTGGAGTGAAGAGAATCTTTGCAGTTCAGGACATTTTCTGTGCAGAATTTACACAGAATCTTTTAATGCTGAAAGCAGCATCTTCTGCACAAAAAAAATATAATTTTCTATACAATATCCATTTCCTGCACAAAAAATGCTGTTTTTTCTTTGCAGAGAAAGTATGGATTTTCAACAGAGTAAATCCCAAACTGCTAATTGTCTTCAAAAACTGCCATTTCCTTTTTTGCTCTAAACACATCCTTTATATTTAAAATTTCGGCCAGATTAAAAAATTCTTTTGGGAGATGTCCTTGTCTCTTC